GCACAGGTGCTCATTGTAATACTCGTTGATAAGCACTTGTTTTTACTTTGGTTCACGAATACTAATGTTGCCTCACGAGAACATACAGGTAGATCAGATACAGACACCTTGACTGATGAAAAATACTATAGCTTTTCCAGACGGGGAAACACCGAACGCGAGCGCGGGCTTAACGGATCTAGCGATTATTGTGGAACGCGTGGATTCAAAAGTATGAGCTCGGAATAATAAAATAATAAATCATGCTGGAATGTGCGGGCGGGGGAGCCGGTCGCATTCCTGGAACAATGGCTGAGCTGCGATAATAACTCTGAAAATGCAGCGGATGTTGTGATGAATAGCGTCGCTCCTGAGCCCGGCTGCTGGCCTTTCTGACACCGTCCAGCCTCCGCGGAAAGCCTCGAGAACCATTCAAAGCGAAGAAATGAGCGCAAAACTCGACCGTGACTTTTGCCATGCCGGGATGCCCGATCTGAAACAAGTTTCGTCTGCTTTCAGAAACACAAATGCTCAGGTTTATTTGATGCGCTACACGGAGCAGGGGTCGCTCTAGATCAGCCTTTTACATCTCTCATCCCGACATTCACTTGGAAATATGGATCCCGTGAACTCTGGAGTTCTGGCGAAGGGAGATATCGTTTGGTATGAATTTTCGTGAAAAATATTTGTTGGTTCGCGAACTGAGATAAATAATAACCAAGCATGTACGACTTACACAAATCTAATTTATACACTTGTCCGCCCAGCCTTTGAGCACTACTTGTATTTCCTTTTTGAGTTCAAGCTGTCACTCACTGTGTAGGTCGGGCTTCGAAGGCGGGAGTGAAGTGATGTATGAATCCGAAGCGAGTGGCCTTTCTCCGTCTTGTATTTTCCCCGTGACGTAATCGCGATCAAATGACAGAGTGCCCCGAGGCGGAATCGAGAAAGATGCGTCAAGATTACAGATAATATTCCTTCAAAGAAAACCTGCCAGTAAGAGTGTGTGTGTGTGTGTGGGGGGGGGGGGGGGGGGAATACGGTTTACCTAAAAAAAGGAGGAAATTGGAAATTATTTTTCCGGCCTGTATATTGTATGTATATGGTTTTAAACCTCCCTGCTTTACCCCTCACCCCCCTTTTCGCCTTTTTGCGTTCGATCAAAGTACTGAAGTCTGGCAGCTCAGCTCTCGTTGAAAATAGTTGCTTTCGATAGCGGGGTCAGGGTATAGTCTCATTCCGCAGCTCCTCGCTCGCTCTCACAGCCCCTTTCTCGCTCACTCTTACGGCCCCTCTCTCGTTCGCTCTCACGGCCCCTCTCTCGCTCGCTCTCACGGCCCCTCTCTCGCTCCCTCTCACGGCCCATCACTCGCTTCCTCTCCGTCCCCTTCTTTCTCCTCATCACCATCACCTATCTGTCCCTCCCCGCCCTTGTATCATCTTCACTTTTCTCGCGTTTCACTGAATGTCCTTGGACAGGACAGGACTCCCGCCAACCACAGTATTAATCATATTGCAAATTCCGAGTACTGTCGTCTTGTCTCTCTTTCTATTCACCTCCTCCCCCACTCTTTCACCCTTACCTCTGCACCCTTCCCAATGCTCCGCTCTACATTTGGAAATGTGAGGCAGTGTGCGCACTTCAGCTAAAAGCAAAGCAGTATCACACTCGTTTTAACACTGACTATAGACATTTTGAAGTGTCCCTACAGTTTACCAGTCAATAAAACAAATTAAAACGAATTTGTGGAGGCGGCGGTCACCCTGCTGTCTTAAAAGAAAAGGAATGAAAAAAACAACAGAAGGGCAACGACAATACAATGACACTAGAAGGTCAAGTTTAGTAAAGTGACTGCTGTCGGTCGTTGGTGCTGCTGCTGCCGTTCGTGCACTCGCGGTTGTAAACAGGTCGTCAATTCCACCTAAGTGCAGCGCGTCCGTGCCCTGGGCCACGCTCTCAGTCTCAGCCCCTCTCTGACATTTTGAAAATAGACAATGAACTCGTATACTAAGCAGTGGTACTCACAAAATTTCCGGCAATCTTACAAATTTCGGACATAGTATATTTCTTTTTGTCAGTGCTTACTCAAAAAGAGAGTACTTATGAACAGAATTGTCAGTATTCTCCACGAAATTTCAAAGTTCTACCAGAAATTCTGTGCTAAGTATACTCGCTGTGCAGTGCAATAATGTTATTTCTTCGAAAAATGTCAGTAATAACAGGCCGAGAGTGCACGGCCCTGCCCGCTCGCCGGGTTGTGGCTGCACTCGGTGTCTAGGCCTACATCGCGGTTTTCAACACCATCTGCCGCAGCCCGCGGCCCCACCTGAACAGGGAATGGCCGGGGCAGGCTGCCCAGTGCTGTAGTTGTAATCTCCCCCCCTGCTCCTCTTCCCCCTCTCCTCCTTCCCCTCCCCCCTTCGCTCGCTTGCCTCTCTCTCCCTCTCTCTTCGCCACTCGTAGACAAAAAGGGGCCCAGGCCTGTGGGAATGTCTGCGAGAGGTCTCAAGAGGCCGCCCCCTCCCGAGCCGCCGCCCCTCTCGGCACCGCGCCCCGCCCCGCCCCGGGCCCCGCACCTCCAGCCGCGTACGCGAACGTTTTATTCGCGCCATGCCGTCTTTTGGATCGTTCAGAGGAGCGCGCGGCGGCGGCGCGTCGGCCTTGGAGACCACCAGGCTGATTGTGCCGCGGCTGCTCTCGTTATTCGCCCGCGCTTTGCTCACTTACACTCCACCTTACCGCCGCGACAGACCCTCGCGGGCAGACCCTCGGACAGACCTTCTTGACCCTCCTCGGGGAGGGCCGCGAACGGAAATCACGCCGTTCTTTTGGTGCCGGAGCACTGTTTATCCACGAAAACTATGAAGGGAATATATGGCGTCATTCAGAATGGACCCGCCCTATGAGAGACCACTGCTATAATTTATTGTCGTATCCCCAAAGTGCCGTAGAAATGTACCCCGCGCGTACTTCTTCGCGTTAAAAACAAACAAACGAAAAAGACATTGTTGTACTGTTGACGTAGGCTCGTGTACATGTCCACAAACTGTAGACGCAAGTGTGTCAATGTCACACACTTGTAGTCATGTAAAAGCCTTAACACACCTACAAGTGTGCGACATTCACACACTTGTGTTTCCAGAGCGCACACTCCCGTAACAACAAACTCTGGTTGATAGCTTTGTCAAATAACGGCGCACACTTTTAAAACGGATCCATCTTATGTTATCCGAATAAAAGCGCTGAAATGTAAAGCACACTTGCACGCACGCCTCTCACACTTGATGCCGCCTTGAAGGGCGCTTGCAGGGTTCACGGCAAGCGTCGCCACGGTGCTCCCGTCGCCAATAAATAACATCTCGAGTGAATCGCGCAGCACCTGCTCTGTCTCTCGCCCCCCTGGCCGGATAAATCCCCGCGGGCCCCCTAAGGCGCCCCACCCCGCTGCTCACATCTCTGCTCCGCTTGCCTGATCCTTATGTATTCAGTAGCGATGCGTCGTGCCGCGTGAAAATTTAAGCGGTGCGTTCCTCTTGGCTGGCGCTGGCGGCGCCCCGTGTTCTGATACCCTCACCACCCACCTCCTCCTCTCGCTTTTTTTTTTGTCGTCTTCGCGACATGGGTCCTCGCTTCGGAGCGCGGCGGCGGGAGCGTTGAGCGTTTGCTCCTCTGGGCCTCCTCCGCCCGCCTCCGCGCTCACCTCGCGCTGCTCGGATCGGTCCAGCCGCGGGCGAGTCCGGCCGGAGCGGCCTCCCTAAGTGATAATGATCCATTTCTCTTTGCGCTTCGCCCTCCAGCGAAGGCCGCGCGAAGCTCTCTGACCGCGCGCAAAACGGCGCGCAAAGTTTTTGTCGTGTCGTACATCACCAGGCCAACTCAGCGGGCTGCTAGCGCGGAGGCCGGTCTCAGGCCGCGGACGGCCCCCGGCTCCAAGCGAGAAGCGCTTCCAGCACTGCCAACCTTCAGGGCGTAAACGATTCCCTTGTCGCTTTATCACAAAGAGCCCGTCGGGCTAACCGCGCGCCCCGGACTATAGGCGGATCATGGGTAGGGGAGCGGCCCCGCAGCACCTCGTCCCACCCTGCCCCGCCCCGCCCCGTACCGCCCCGCCCATCCCCGCTCCACCCCACCGCGCCCCGCCCCGCCCCACCGCGCCCCACGCGGCACAGGGAGGATGCTGGGGTCGCACGCAATCAGCGCCGGGGCGCCCTTTCTCTCACTTTCCCACTCATCGCCAACTTTGGCGCGAATTAAGGCGACGGGGTCTGTTTCATTCCACCCTCTTCCTCTTCTTAGGCAAACGAACCGGCGAAGAGGTGGGGGTACAATCGTGCGCACGCATGTGCCGAGCCCGGGGTACTCGTATAACTTCATACCGAAAAGGGTGCACACTTGCACATACGAACAAGTACAAACTTGTTCTTATAAACTTGTCTAGAAAGTGCGTCCTTTCTCAGATTCATTCGGTCATTCAGCAAATTGTGAGAGCTCAGCGACTGCGAGACTCACGGGGCAGGCCACCCCGCAGTACACGCAAGTGCACGACAGGAAAGTTGTTGCCCACCTAGCAGGCGCTATGCTATGAGACCTTTGCATTGGCTGGGCGGCAGAAAAAAATTCCCCGAGAAAAGAAATCTAATCTCTGCCGTTTTCCCTTTCGTCCGCGTCCCCCCGTCTCCGTCCTTGTTTTGTAAAGTAGTGAGTATCTGCGGATGGCGAAAGGTGGTGCTGGTCGTTCTCTCTTCGCCGAACGAAACAGACGCACCTTCACCACCCCTGCCCCCCATTCCACCCTCCCTTTCTCCCCCTCACCCCTCCTGATAAACCCGAGAGCGCGTTAATCACAGCCCCCCGCCCCCCCCCTTCTCGAACACACCGCTCCTTTTTTTTCCACCGGACTCCGTCTCCTGATCACCACTGCCACCGGTGCCGATACCCTCACCCTCACCCCGATGCTCTCCTTTTCTTTTGAGCTCGTTTTTTCTCTCTCTAACCTCCATTATTTTTTTGGTGTTGACAGAGTACGTCGGGCGGGGGGCAGGCCAATGGAGTAGCGGTCCGGTGAGCGCAGCGCTGCGACCCCACGCAGCAGCAGCTCGGCGACGGGGAGGATGACGGCCACCATGGAGGACGTCGTCGGCAACGCCACCACCACCATGGTGGCCCCGGTGGCCCCGGTGGCCCCCACCGACCTGCCCATCGACATGACCTTCAACACCGGCCACATGGTGTCCATCGTCTTCTACCCCATCCTCATGGTCATCTCCGCCGTGGGCAACATCACCGTCTTCGCCATGCTCTGCCGCAGGCGGAAGAAGTGCCGCTCGAGGATGGACAACATGCTCCTGCACCTCTCCATCGCCGACCTCCTGGTGAGTCTGCGTGTCTTGTACCCGATCCTTCTTTTAACGTTTGGAAGCATAGTAGAAATCATTGTTGCATCCTTCTGTGTGATAAGTTTCGCAACTTACATGAAATGCGAATCAAAGAAACTTTTTTTTTTCGACCCGAGAGTTCTCCCCCGAGCCTTGTTCAGTTGGAGGCAAAGCGTCTAGGAGGCTCCCGCACCTCAGTTCAGTATCCGGGGCAGTAAACCGCTTCGCCCTTTGCGAGGGACACCGCTACTTCAAAACGGCGTGCTAGTATAATCCGGTAGAGTCTGAATCAGTGCTAGCCTGTCCTCCCTGAAAATAAAAAGTTTCTTTTGCAACAGAGGATTTTGGAACTCAGGATAATCCGCTGGACTCTATGGCGCCTGCTACTGGCCGACCTGTCGGTCGTGTGAGGCGTGAACGAGGACCACGCTGTGGCAGGCGCGAGGGGGAGAGAGGCCACGGGCCACGGCCACGTGGAGTCAGCACTCAACCCTCTGAAGCAGGGACTCTGTATACCTGAGTGTCTGATGGGGTTAAACACACGCTCCCCGGCTGTGAGCGCGTGCGCGTGCACACACTCACATACACACACGCACACACACACACACACACAATCACACGCACACACACACAATCACACGCACACATCATAGTGCTAAGTGGGCCTGGCCGACCCCCTATTAGCCAGTCAACAAACAGCATATAGCCAGGACGAACGCGCCCTGTTATTTCCCGAAGAATTGCTGTTCGGCAACCCGACTCTGAGATGAGGGAAAGGGGAACGGGAGGAGGGGGGGGGGCTAGGCCCAGCGAGCTCTGATGCAGTCGTGGTGCGGTGGTATGGGAGGCGGGGCCGACAGTTTGTGTGCGATTCCGCGTGTGTGTGTGCGCGCGCGCGCGCGTTTGTGTGCGTTTGTGTGTGTGTGCGTGTGTGCGCGCGCACGCGGCCAGGGAGCGACAGGCCGCCCTATCGTAAAGCGCGCTGCGGGGCCCGCGCTCCCGATCCCCACAATGTAGCCCCGAGCTGTGAGCTGCAGAAGACATGCAATCAGGACACTCTAAATGTTTCACAAGAAAATTCAACATTTCCTCACCTCACACTCTCTCTGTGTGCTTTTCTGTCACTTTTTTACATCCCCCCCCCCTCCCTCTCTCTCTTTCTCACGCCTGCTCTCACCACTGCCCCCCCCCGCCCCACTGCTCTGTGGCACGCCCCCACCGCCTCTTTTCCATGAGTTATGGATCACGGGAGGCGCTCCCGCCTGGAACCCTCCGGCCTCGCATAGCGTCGTGACTCGACACCAGGCAGTCCTCGTGACGAAGCAATCATTACTGTTGTTATCATGAAAATAAAATCTTTTCCGCATATTATTTTAAGCAAGTCAAGCACTAGCACTGCGGACGGGTGTCCCTGCCAAAGAAAACAACTTTTTTATTTGAAGTTATTCTGGCACAATAACTATATATTTTAAAACTAGACCGAAAAG